CCCCGGGATGGGGACTCCCCCCTCCCTGGGCAGCCTGTTCCACTCTCGGACCACTCTTGCTGGGAAACATTTTCTCCTCCTGCCCAGCCTGACCCTCCCCTGGGGCAGTTTCCAGCCGTTCCCTCTTGTCCTGTCCCTGATCCCCTGGGAGCAGAGCCCAGCCCCGGCCTCTCTGCAATGTCCTGTCAGGAGCTGCAGAGAGGGATGAGGGCTCCCCTCAGCCTCCTCCTCCTCACCCTGAACACCCCCAGCTCCTTCCCTGGCTCCTCACAGGATTTATTCTCCAGCCCCTCCCCAGCCTCGTTGCCCTCCTCTGCCCTCGCTCCAGCCCCCCGAGATCTCTCTGGGATTGAGGTGCCCAAACCTGGACACAACCCTCCAGGTGAGGCCCCTATGTCCTCCGGGTGTTTGGTTTTCTGCCACCTCCATACACCAACTAGGATGTCTTGCTGCCACGTTTCATCTCCCAGAAGCTTAAAAACCACCTGAAATGCCGAACTGGTCCAGAGAAAATGCTTCCAGCCGTGGGCCTGGCTGATAGAGGGGACTAAACCTGCTGTTGCTTCATTTCCAGACCACGAGCAGTGTGCAGCCACCTCCAGTTTCCAGCTCAAACATGTTCTCGCCAGGCAGAAAGGATGAACTCGGGTCAGGGATAGGCTGAGAGATGAATAAACCACGCAGGGATTTATTCGGGAGCCAGCCCCAGAAAGGAGCCTTGAGCCGTGGAGAGAGGCTGAGCATCACTCCTGAGCTCAGATGCACTCACGACACCTATGGCCATGGAAAGTTCGCAACATGCCCGCCCTGAGTGTGACTCCAAGGGGATTTTGGATGGGAGAGCGATGCTCGATTTGCCAAGGATGAGGCAGGGAGAGGAGGAGGTGCAGCTGGTAGGATGGAGCTCCTGGAGCAACGCGAAAGCACCAGAGAAATCTGTGATGTTTATTTAATATGAGCAACCTCCATCTGCAAAACGCTGCTGCAACCTCACAGCACGGCCAGGGAGAGCAACTGACTGCCACAACTGCAGGGGAAAAAAAGTTTAAAAAAAAAAAAAAATCTCAAAAAAATCCCTCCTTCCTACCCAGCGCCAGGAGGTTCCCATGCGGTTCTCAGGGGTTGATAAGGGAAAATATTTTCTTCTTGCTGATCATTTCCTACTTCAGCTCAGTTTCAGGAAAGGACAAGATAACAAGAGCGATAACGAGGATGGTGATTTCTAGAGAACCCAGGACACAAGCCAAAAAGAAAAGGAATAAACTATAAATAGATTCCTGGGTACTTTGCAGCAGGACACTGGGAAAGCTGAGGCTGAAGATGCCGCTTTTGAATCCTCCTGCCCTCTTGATGAACTTAACATTAAAATAGCGCAAGCAGGTCATAAACAGCTGCCTGGTTTAAGAAATCGAGTGGGTTTTTTGCGGAGAAAAAGTTACTGGTCATACTAGAAAGACCTACAGACCCCACATAATGAGACCCTGGTAGAAGGGAATGGAGGAGGAGAGGTGTGAACCCCTTCTGTGAAGGGTGGAGATAATTTTATCCCCGTTCCAGGCTCTACAGTCACCACTAAACCCCTGTGGGAACAGGTACATTCTGCCTTCAGGAAAAAAAAAAAACAAACCAACCAACATTTTATTTTTATCCATTTCTAGAGCCCCTTCTCCAGCGAAGGAGCCGTCAGCCCCACTGAAGCCAATGCAAGAAACGGGTTTGGGCTTAGGAATATAAAAGTGGTGAGAGGTCATCGAGGGATGGAAAATCTGGGCTTCCCATCCCCAAGATGAAAAGAAACTTGTGCAATTTCTCTCCCTATAAAGCACAGGAGTTTACAGGACGGTGCTCCTCGGGTTTTGCCCTATTTGGGGCATTCAGAGAGGAAACCGGTGGCTCCCTCTCAGTGAACAGGAACGGATCGAACGCGCAGCCACGCGAAACGCACCCGATGCAGAGGCGCGTGACAAATAAATCCTTCACTCTACCTGGGAGGCCACTAAATCATCCCCTCGGCAAGTGCCTGCTGCCTCCTCTGCCTGCCTCAGGACCAGCCACGGAGGGAGCCCACGGCTTCACGTGAAGACAGAAACATGAACCCGGTTACTTTTATCCCCAGATTGAAACTTTAAGTAATGCTTTTAAAGAACCGTTTCTTTCTAATGACGCATTAGAGTTTGCTCCCACGCAGAGTGGCCCTTTCTAAGGGGTTTGCTTTTTTTTTTTTTTTTTTTTTGAAAGACAGTTGCATGCAGCCCTTCCTCTGAAAAAAAAAAAAAAAAGAAATAATTGTTTATTCCCACATAGAAACAGCTTTCATAGTTGCTTTGAAGAAAAAAAAAAAAACAACAAACCACCCCAAATCTGTCAGCAATGTCTCCTACACAGATAAAATGAGGACAACAAAGCCCAGCTGAAGAGCCTTTGCAGAGCATCTTTTACTGTAGCAATACAGCAATAACCCTCTCTGCCCAGGACATTATTTTATTCATGCAAACCATGTTGTTATTTTTTATTTCGGGGGCATGAACATGCCCCTCCTGCCCACCCGCCCCAGCTGGGGCTCGTTACCCCTATCTGGGTTTCATGCACGCGTTTGCCAAGCCTTGGGTCGAAATACACGTTTCCTGGATGCTTCGGAAGCTAAATAACCCAAAAGCCTGGTTTTAATCCCCGAAGAGCTGGTAGCCTTGCAAATAATTGCCTGGGCCTCCCCGAGAGCTCAGGCAGCAGCGTGGGCCGTCCAGGTACCCTGCTTCCGCCGAGTCCCACAGATCCCTGCTCTGCCCCGTTGAACACCAAGTCTGCTCCCCAGACCTGCCAGAAACTCCCAAACTCCCTTTTTTTTTTTTTTTTTTTTTGCTATAGCCCTGCCACCCTCCGCTTCCATCTCAAGACCAGGCCAGATGCTGCAGCTAGAACATGCTCACGTTCCCCAAAACCCAAAGAAAGGGAGATTTTTTATGAGCAGGGAGGGATGTTGCCTCTTCAATCCCCCCTCCATTCAGCTCCATGAGCAGTGGTTCCTTTCAAATTGAATTTATTTCAGAGATTGAGGGCCAAGCAATCAATTTTCACCTCTTTCCAAAGATCTCTTCTGTACTTGTTGCTTTCCCCCCAGTTGGGAAAAAAAAACAAAAAACATTTCAACGATGCAATCAGCTCAATCCCTTAATGAGCACCAGGCAATTCACTGGAAACTCCTAATTCAGATTACACCACTTGGATGCTATTAATATCGTCTCAGACTTTGCAAAAACCTTCCCTCAGTCTTACTCAGGTGCTCACCAGCACCCTTCCATCACGCCTTGGGTAGCACGCGCTTTTGAGGGATGATGGAGAACCACCAGCAGTTCTCTTCGGGGAGGAAAAATGCAACATGGGATATCTTTGATTAATTCAAAATTCATATGGAGAAGGTAATTAACTCCAGGGATGCCCATAAATAATCCACACTTGGAGGGTTTTGGGAAGGATTTTGTAGCGTCGGTCCTTGACTGAGCTTTCCAGAAGCTGTGAAGCCCCACTAATCCACTGCAAGAACGGCTGTTATTAATGCAACGGCTAATTTAGTGATGAGATTAAAAAAAAAAAGAAAGGGGGGGTGGGGGGAACACCAAGGAAAGAAATGCAACATGCTGGGAGTTTGCTGGCGACGCTCAACACATGAGACTCGGGAAGAATAAAGTGTGTTTTTTGCCTCTCGCAAAACCTTCCCAAACTGCTCCTACGAAGACGGCAAGAAATTCAGCGCAAGAATGTCAATAATTAGTGTGGCAAAAGAATCATTAACTCCCCCTAGGGCTCCAGCCCCCTCTTCTCCCTCAGAGCCAAACCTGGGCCAAGCAAATCCCCGTTTAAAGAGCATTGTGGTGATTAAAAAGCCCCGACCAAGAGGTGAGCAACACTTAATGGAGGAGATCAGCCGCAATTTCTTGCACAAAGCTCCTGCTGCTGCCCTGGGGTTTCCTACTTTGTCTCAAGCGAATGAAATAATAATAATTAAAAAGGATTGAAACCCACAGATTTAAAGGAGAACAAAACTAGACACAGAGAACTGAGCAAAAAGTGCTGGAGCATCCCTGCGAGGATTTTTCTCACTGTATTTCGAGGGGATTTGGGTGTTAGAGGGTTTGTAGATCTCTCCCGGCCAAGAGGCGGCTGCGGATACTCGCTACACGAACAGGGAGAATAAAAGGTTGCCCATGGGAAACAACAGGACCTGACTGCCCCAAAGCCCTTTCTCATCGGATTCAGTCCCTAGCACAAAGCTGGGACCCTTCTCCTTTCGCTCGAAGCCTTTGCTCCCTGGTCCGGGATGTTTTCAGCTCCCCAGGCAATCCCGAACGCTTGCTGCTGCGCGAATGTCAGACCCTCCTCATTTATCCACCCCTCTGCGTGGCTAAGCAGAAAAAAAAAAAAAAAAAAAGAATGAAGAAAGTGGTGTTTTTGTTTAGAGAGCCTGTAATCAGAGCGCGCTATATAATCAGCGGGCTTAGGAAGAAAAAAATAAATATATCCCCCAGCAAACCTCTGCAGGAAGGAGTTTCTTCAATTGCTTTTTTTCCAGCAGGCTCTGTTTGTCTGCTAATTACCAGGAATTTTTTTTTTTTTTTTGAGAGTTGAAGCAGCACCATCAAAACCTGCTGATATTGGAATATCCAGAGAAAACTCTTCACTGCGGCTGGAAGGAGCTGAGCCCCTCCTGGGGCAGCAGAGCCCCTGAGCCCCAAGAAGCACGAAGAGAAATGGGGGTTTGCGGCGATGCTTTGCACAAAGAAATCCTCTAAATAACCTGAAATTTCCCCGCAGGCAGACAAAAGCAAGCGGAAAAAAACGCCTGGTGACCTCCCTCGCAGCAGCAAATATAACCCGGGATGAGTTCAAACCCAGACACGCGGCTTCGTTTCTCATGCAAACCCTGCAACCTTTGACTGGGCAACTTTTCTGCCCGCGCGACGCCGAGGGCAGCCGTCCCAGCGAGCGGTGCTGCCCTGGCTTGCCGTGCGCTGCCGCACTTCGGCGGAGGTCGGATGCACCTGACCTCCAAAACCTGCAACTTTTGAACCCAAAACCTGCGACCGCTTCTTCAAAAGCAGCATCTCGCCGATGGGGACAGACCCCAGGCAGCAGGGTCTCTGCTTGTGGCCAGAGCAGAAGGGGCAACTCTTTCCCTTCTTCATCCTCTAAGAGGGAAGAAAGAGCCAAAAAACAGCTTAAAGGAGACGCTGGTCAAACCCCATTTCAGCTGGAAATTGCTTTAATTTTTTTCTGGAATCTCCATATTTCCCATAAACACCCTTCTTTTTTTTTTTTTTTTTTTTTTTTTTCCGCCTGTTTCTCCCTCATTTATTTTGCAGGGACAGAAGAACGCACCTCCAGCCACCAGCTGCAAACTTGGCAAACCCAGACCAGCCTGAATTCACCCCAAATTCCTCCGACCGCTGAGACCACCATGCTCAGGGGAACACGCTGAGCCTTTCAGTTCGTCCCAGGGCATCTGGTCCATCCAAGCCTTCGGGTCTTGGAAATCTGCCTCTTTACTGCGAATATCCAAAGGTCTGTTTCTTTTTGCTGGCTTGGAGGTGAACATGCCCTGGGGTAACCGGATGAGCTGGATACCCCGTGCAAACCCTCTGCTCTCAACCAAGAGCTTTTCCAGCACCACGAAACCACGAGGAATTCACCTGAGTCACGCACCCAAGTGGTTTAAGTGCAAGCGATGCACCCAACAAAACATTAACTCTCCTTTAAACTATTTCACCCAATTCTTCCAAATGCAGAAGAAAAACAAGGGGAAGGTGCTACTTACTGGTATTTTCACCTCCTCTGGCTTAAAACTGACTTTAAGTGGCTGCTGTAGGGTAATGGATGAGCGCTGGTGATGCGGCAGAGTAATGCTTTATATGGCACCGCTGTAATAGAGGTTTTCTGCGTCAATTTTTGCCCCTTTCTCTGCGCAATCGGAAAAAAAAAAACAAAAAACAACAAAAAAAAACCCCAAACCAGCTGCTTGGACCAGCTCAGACCTCAAAGTGCTCCTTCACACACGCGTGATTCTGATTGCTTTTATTCAGGGGCCCCAAGCTTCAAATCACTGTAGTAGCTGACTCTCTTCGAGGGGGAATTTATCTTCCCAGGAGAAGGACAATTCTCCATCCACACAATAGCTCTGTGATTGCCAACCATTTCCCCGCAGCCCTACTCGCTCCCCTCTTCAAACCTGACATATCTGCCACTTTCCAGCGTTTAATCTCTCTATTTACACGAGCAATCAGGGGCTGGAGAGGACGGGGGGGGGAGGCACATTTCAAGCACAGCTCGGGAAGTCGCATCATGGGTCGACCTTGAGGGTAAAAATACGAAATTGCAAATAAAATAAATGGCAAAGCTGGTAGAGGTTGCCGGAGTTTGCTTTTCACATCTTGCTGTTGCTGACGTTTGGAAATAGCAGTATAGATACAAATATACATTTTTATATATATATAAGTATTTATAGATATATTTATGTTGTTTTTATATATATACATACATATGTATATAAAAAACACCTGCAAAAGGCCTAAAGACCTGCAAGCAGCACCTGATCTCTTGCTGCCATAAACCCAAGGTCAAATCCTGCCTTGGGTGACGAATTTTGGCAAGCCCAAGACAGGAAAGGAGGAAGCAAAAAAGGTCATCCAGTGGAAAACAGAAATGGAGAAGTTGGATTTCTTGGCCTGTCTGGACCCTCGTCTCTCTCTCTCTCATTGTGCATAAAGTAACTGCAGCTCTACTGGAACTGCCTCTGGAAATTCAGGGCTCTACTGACTTTTTGGAAGGTAAAATATCCATGGGGCAAACACAAGGGTCCCAAGCCCCCGGGTGGGAGATGCTGACAAGAGATGATACATTTCTAGCAAAAACAGCTCTAAGAACCCATGAAGAGAAGCCAACTGGGGCATATTCAACTGTGAAACCCAACTGCTGGAGCCACCGGTCCCACTGCCTTTCCAGTTCCTAAACCAAACCACCCCAGCTCCCCCCGCCGACTAACTGAGCAAGAGAAATATTGATTTTTACGGTTTATTTGCTAAATTACCCTGAACTCCCTCAAAGCAAAGGCAAGCCATCTTCATTAGACAATCTGCAGCTCTCCAAGCCTTGCAAATATTAACAGGGACAGAAGAAACTCGATTTCCAAACGGAAACTCTTCACCCATCTATTAAGTACAAGTCTGCGTAACGCCGATTACACGTGCCGGCAGCTCAAATCCCCAGGTCTCGCTTGTAATTTTTCTAATAAACTCGAGCTGCGGATTGCAAGCAGGCGGTGACTTTATTGAATGGGTTTTGCTTAGATTATTAGAGAAGTCATTAACGACGCGATAATCTGGCTCACACACGGGTAGGACTTGTGTGGTTGTGCATGCCAATTACAGGTAACGACTGGAGAGGGTAAGATTGATAAGGAAAAGATTAAAACCCAAACGTAATTTGTGGTACCTTGCAGGGGGGACATTGGAATAATATATCAAGTAGCAGATTTAGGAGCTGGGTGGCTTTCCTAACTGTTTTGCCTAAGAGAAATGTTGGTCGATTTTTCTCCCCGGCTCAGGAAAAGAAAAAAAATCCATCAGCAGCGAGTGACTGAGATGAATGAGGATTTAACAAGCACTACACCCACCGCATCTCGTGTTAAAAAAAAAAAAAAAAAGGTTATTACTGTCAAGTTCTATCCGATACACGTTTGTAGGGCGTTGAAATATTTTCTCCTAAACAGAGAGGAATGTATTGCCTACTCTCCAGATGAACAAGATGTATTTTTAGAAGAGGGGACAAGTCGATTTTTGTTAGAGATTGGAAGCTTGGGGTGGTTTTGTGCTCATCACTAGCTCGAGTTCCCTGAAAATGCAACTGCAGGCGTCCGAGCAGCTGCAGCACATCTGCACACACAAGCTCCTGAGAGGATCCGAGCCCCGATTGTCCATCAGCATCAATATATGCATTTTTTATTGCTGTCTCAGGATATAATTTCCAGGGTCTGTCCTGAGTCTGGTTTTGGGGCTCATGGGGCAGAGCTCCCTCCTCTGTGGTCCCTGCACCAGCAGATTCCCTCTCAAGGTGACCAGATTGTAAAAGAATGTCTTTTCAAGAGTTTTCCTGGTACAATTCAACAGCAGCCCAGGGTGGAACAGCTTCTGCAAAGGAAAGCGACCCCCAGTCTCATCTCTATGGAAGCTGCTGTACGGGAGAGGATGTCCTGCCGTGAAACCTCCCATGGACTCCTGGTACGAGCCCCCACTTCTGGGTGATGGATGGAAATGCTGATGGATTTCTCAGGCAATTCCCACATGGACACAATGGAGAAGTCCAGGCTCGGCCCCGTGGTTTTCCCAGTATCGTCATGAGTGCTGTAAAACCACGCCAGCAGCCATGGACTTTCCCGTGCAGCCCAGTCCCACTGGAGAACTGGTTTTAGATACAAGGATAAAGCAATTTTTTTTCTGGGATAAGCTGCATCTCCACCAGGAAAACACCGATCCAAGGTTACCCCCATACAGACCTGCGACCCCTCTGAGCGGACAAGTCCTCGCGGCGGCAGAGCGAGTCAGAGGTGGGCGTGCAAACCCACACTCGTGGCCCGGGCTCTTAGAGATGCTCTTTAAGTGCATTTTTTTTTTTGTCCTCTATGAGCTTGCAATGCTATTTCCTGCAAGAAGAGGCAGCATCAGGATCCTCACCTCCATGCAGACCACAGATACCTCCCACATTTGCACGGCTGTGCAATGCGCGCGCTGGGAACACCCTCATTTATCTCATCATCAAGAGTATTTCCAGAATGTTTCACTGCTGTCGTGTTCTCCTCCTCGTGCCGAATATATCCACGGGGGGAAATTCAGCTCCAAGACTGGGAATTAGGCTGGGTCTATTATCAGAAATGAAGAGAGGTTTAGTGGATCTGTGGTTTAGCAGTGGACTCGATGATCCAACCTGAATGATTCTATGAAAAATCACTTCGTTTATCTGCCCCTGGAAAACAGATAATTAATGTAGCGTATGGAGAAGTTGTGCTGCTCTGCAACCAGCTAAAGGCAGGTGAGGAGAGTTCAGCAACCCTAAAAACCCACCACCCAGAAACCCCACGTATTTTGACGCACGAGACAAACACCCCTTTTCATACATCCTAGCCAAAAGGGATGCAAGTGTTATCGTGCATCGTGACTTGCACGGGTATTGCTTTATTTATTCCACATGGCAGGCGTGAAACTGCTTATATCCACAGGGAGAAAGAGCCAACCCAGACGGGCAGGATTATCTCTTTTTCTCAGCTGTGCCCATTGCAGAATTGATTCGGCCAACAACCTGTGAAATACAGTTAATGAGCTTGGGTTTCTGTCGCCCTGGGTCGCTCCAAGGATGAGATTTCCTACCCTCTGATGTGTCAATTTTCCACTTCCAAATTCAGTCCAGGTTGTGGAAACAGAGTATTAACCATGATTCATGAGTATTAGCACAGAAAGGAAAATATTATCGGAAATTTGAAGTACTTATCCTTCTTTGGAATAAGCCTAGATAGAATGAACACAATACTGGATGGCTTTAATAGCAGACAAATGAAAAAGAAGATGAAATGTTCTCCACAAGCAACATAACTCCAGCTTTGGCAGAAAAACATTTCCTAGGCTGAGATCAAAAAGAAATAGAGAGCTTTCCCAGTTGCTCTGATGGACAGGAAAAAGAGGGTTGTATGTTAGAGGTATGACTGAGTCCAGGCACCATTTAGTATCCAAACAGAAAGAATAAAGTCAGTTGATGAGGAGGAATTCATTAAAAATTCATTTTTAAGCAATCAAGATATCAGGGCTATTTAAACACCACAAGTATCACCGGGATGGGATGTCTCTGGCCACTCCCTTGGAGACGCCTCCAAACACCCCGTCGCAGATGTAAGTATTGACACGGGGACGATTTAGGGAGAAATCTTTAGTTATTAATGAATCTAGATCTCTTACGAAATCATGACTGTGTCAGCGCTTACGTCCACGACACACCCGGGGTTAGGAAGCAGCTCTCAGACAGAACAGACAGTATCTCACCGCAACAGAGATCTGATAGGGAAACCTCCTCCTCTGCTCACTCAGTGCACAGCTCCGATCCCCACGACCCTTTTTAAGTGCAACACAACCAACCACCCATCGCAGGTGGCACAAAACCAGCGGTATCGAAAAGCAATGATAATTTCATCTGCTCACGCAGAAGCAAAGACAATATTGGTTTTCGGATCTGGGCTCCCATCTGTATTAATTGGAAACGCAAACGCTGAGCGAATTTTAAAAGCCATGTTGCAAGTGAGTGCTAGCTACCCGGAGTGTTTGATTTTAATAAACCAATCAACCCAAACCACTGGGAGATGGAGGGGTTGTGCAAACCGTTAGCATGCAAGGCACACGCGTGCTGGCAGTAAGGCTCCATGGACCGGCACAGATTATTCGTATGAAAACAACTTCTTCACCGAGCGAGCGTCAGGCGCAGCCGGAGAGCCAAGAGAGCTGTCACGGAGCTCACGGATGGACATTGGCCCTGGCTGAGGGTGATGGAAGAGCTTTTCTCCCATCTGAACGGCTTAGAATTCCGTTTGTAAAGCCCTGCTGGAGGCAGAGGTGTTACCCCAGAGCAAGGGCAGGCAATGAGCTGCAGGGAGGACGGCTGGTCAGATGCTCAACGCCCCAACAAAACCCCTGGAAAGCAGGTTGGGAGTGAACAGCTTTGCCCTAGTGTCCTGGATCTCTCCCAGTTCAGACTTCAGAGGTATTTTTTCCCTCTGCTAAGAGGGAAAACAAAGGAAAAAGGAAAAGGAAATGAAGGAAAACAAAAAAAAAAAGGAAACAACGCTATTTTATATTGGCATCACCATGGCTAAAATAAACTGACAGTGGAGACTTTGCTCCGCCCAAGACGGGATTTTAGCCCCCAAAATAACTCCCCGGTTACCCCTGAAGGCAGCAGCGCTTCCCACAGATTTTGGGAGGCATTCAGCCGTAGATAACATGGAAATCAGGGTGCCAGCTCTGCAATTTAAATATATCTCTCCCTGTTACCCCTCTGCTGACTTCACGGCTGAGCTGAAAACACCGAGCAGTCACGTCATGCACGCATTTAAATCCGGGAAGGGGCACACTGTTGCCGCAAGTCGTGGTGGTGACTCGTTAGGATCCCTCAGTTTTCCTCCTGGGGATCACCCAGACCATCCCGAGGGCTGCACGGAGAGCACGGTAACGGCCTTACCGTCTTCAGCAGCGTCCGGTTGTCCCTGAGGCTCCCCACCATGCCCACGAAGGAGACGCCAAACATGGTGAAGCCCAGCAGGAGGAGGATGATGGCCGGAGCCAGGAAGATCCCTTCCAAAGTTTTGTGCTTTTGCCTCTCCACTTCGGCGTAAATCCCAACGCACAGGATCACGAGGCCGAGGATCTGCAAGGGAAGAGCATGAGATGGGATTCACGTGCCCACAAGGGAAAAAGCAGAGGCTTTGCGGGAGAAGTGGAGGTGGGAGATGTCCCAGATGGCCAAGGAGATCCCACCCAACTCCAGGACACTTAACATCCAACCCCGAACGGTGCCGTCGACACTTGGCGCATCCCCTTTGCTCAAGGCTGGGCTGCTCTTCCCCTGGCTGGGAAGGGGACTTATAACTGCGGTGTGATCAGTCTAGCCGGACAGCTTTAAACCAGGCTTTGCTAGGCTTCTGCTCTCCCCTCCCTACTGGTACCCTTATGGTCTGCCTTGGATGCTCAGCTTGGCCCTTGCTGTGGGTCTGGTAGACCCAGAGGCTGACGGTTACTAACACCAACAGCCCACCCTCCCGCACTCCCCCCTTAGACAGCACCATCCCCAAAACTACTCCTTTCACCCCATAATTTTTACACCCGGCTCCAGCACCGACTTAGACCCAAAGCCATAGCGAGACGCTCGCCCTCTCTCCACACGCCGGCACCAACAATTAGAAACAAAGCTAACAGCACCGTTACCCGGCGCTTGTGATCCCTGGATGAGATGTGTCATAGAGAAAAGCAACGGATTATTTATGACAACCTCCCTCCCCTCTCTCCTCCTTCGATGAAACAGCTCTAATTGAAAAAGAGAGCCTAACGATGCCGGGATAAAGCAGGGCTCTGAGAAGGGCTGCTCGCATCCCTTCAGCTCCTTCAACATCAAAGGCAGCGACGCCATCCCCGGCGCTCCGCGCTGTCAGGAGCCGTTCGCATCGCGCCCGTCGGCCCGCGGCGCAGCCGGAGGCGAGCGGCTTCGCAGCCAACGCCGAGCTGACACCTGAAAAGGTCGGCGAGGAAACCGAGGAGCGTCTGGAGCCATTCCTTCTGCAGCCCTCCCCATCTTAACTCACAGCGGGCAGCTCCTGGGGGAAAGCCCCCGGCTGCAGACACCCCCGCTCCGAAACGTACACCTCCACAGCGGAGGATAAAAACCTCCTTTTTCCACTCCTTTTCCACCACTTTCACCTTTCCAAGAGGCTTCATTGCTTCTAAGAAGTTCGCTCAAACTCTTCCCGTTAATTCACGCAGACAATTCAATCCTTAATTTTCATGCACAGTCTTTGCTTTTTGGGGGGGGTTGATTTTTTTTTTTTTTTTTCTTCTCTACTCTGCCTGGACACTATTTCTGGTGCGTTCTTGTAGCTACTGTCTGTCTACCAATCACCGTCTGCTTCCAGGCTCGATCTCCCGAAAAGTGAAATTTAGACTCGTGGTATTTCACTGACACTTTAGTTATTTGAAACTAAACAGGCGGGCCTATTTCTGATAACAGGCTTTTAATCACAGATTCATCGTTATACTCTATTTTAAGCGTCAGGTTGTTGCGCTGGGATTAGGTTTGATTTAATGTTTATCTCGGATACGGTGTCCCAGGAAATACATTTGGCTTTGAAGGCGGGGGGTAGACATTAACGCACACCATGCGTCCCCCGCTAATCGCTAATCCCCACCGTTCCTCCCGTGTGCCAATCAGAACCACTTTCTCCGTTTTAATTAATCCATCCGCGATGCCAGCGAGGGAAGAGATCATGGAAAGAGCATGGAGCAAACCCGGGAGGGGGTTCGAGGGCTGGATGCTCCGAGGGGCTGAGGAAGCAGCATGCATGGGATGGGCTTCACCTGAAGGGAGAGAAACCAAGCAGGGTTTGCAGGATGGACACGTGTTTTGCTTAAAAATAGCTTTTCCAGGGCTGAAAAGTATCCTTGAATAATTTAAAGCACATGGCATGCATGAGGCAGCTGCGGAGTGGTGCTGGTCCTTCCTCCCAGCATCCCTTCGGCAGGGAAACTCCCACCACTGCCATGCATCACACCCCTCTTTTATGGAGGGGGGCGGGGGGGGGGG